TTCTAAAAGTCCTATCAGCACTGGAGAGACACCACCTACCATTTTACCAAGGTTAAACAAAAAAAGCCTTCAATCATTTTGGCAGAAGTTCAAAATTACTTCTATAAATAGTCCAGTGAAAATTAAAAAAATGTAAATTACTGCAGTGTGTGAATATACATCATAGAATAACCAAAAATCCTTGAACCATTAATTTACTTGATAATATAAGAAAAAGATGCAACTTCAGAATAAATTCCAAATACTTTCTTATCCAAAAAACACATTTTAAAATGTATTTTGGAAGTCTCAAAAGAAAGGCAGTGGGGTGAGGTGGGAGGAACAACAGGACCTGCACTCAGAAGACCAAGACTGGAGTTGAAGGTCTTCCACCTCAAATTATGTTTGATGTTGGCTGCGTCCCAACCTCTCAGATCTGTTTCCTCACCTCTAAAATGAGAACAGCAAGCACCTCTTCCTTGGATTACTGTGACAGGGAAATGAGACTATATACATGAAATCACCTTGAAACTTTAAAGCACAACAAAAACGTTAAGTTCCAACTCTAAGACTGCATGGTCCCTGGGTACAGGAACTGTGTCATATTCTTTTTTGTGGCCCCAGCCTATAGAATAGTATTTGGTATCGGCTGGGTGATCAATTTACCTTTTTTATTACAAATGTCCTTAAGTGGGATCTTAAAAATAAATAAATAAATAAATATTTTTGTAGTTTAAAAGGTTTGTGAGCATCCCATAACCAATTCTTTTTTCATGAAGAGGGAAGAAACAGGTTCTGGGGCTCAATTCCAAGTTTTAAGATGACTTTAATTATCATCAGAAGTCCAAAAGCCTGACAACCAATGATTAATTTACAGTGGACAGTAAAGAAGAATAACTTTATAATGTGCAAACTGGGAGACTATTTACTCAGTAAAGCCAAATGGTATATTTTGACAGTCTACTAACTTTTTGGAACTCTCTTGTATTTCTAGTGCTACTTAACACTATAGATGTATACTTACAACAAAAATCTGAGAAAACAAAAAGCTTAAAAGAAACAAAAAACCACCCACAATCCTACATCCCAGAGTAAACCATCCTTAACACTGGTGTTCAGAGCTTTTGGTTTTATTCTATGCCTTTGTTGCCTGTTATTTATCTTTAATGGAAGTGATAAACTGTACATATTATTTTGCAGCCTGTGTTTTAACTTAGAGAAAATTCTTCCAAGTCAACATTCTTCCACACGATGTTCGATGGTTTGACAGCAGTCTATCAATTAGATATACCACAATTTGCTTATCTTGGGGATTGTGATAAATTATTAATATTTGAAGTATTCTGTAACTCCCAAAGTCAAAAAAAGTGGCCAAGGCCCTTCCATTCATCCAAACATGTATTTGTTAGTGTTTTAATCTGAAATACCTCCTTGAAAAAAACTTTCCAATATTCTGTTTGGATCCTAAAACACACGCAATCTGTTAACAAGTAATGAGGCAAAAATCATACTACTCTTATATTTGTATTGAGTCCATTTGCTCCTGAATTATACTTGGGAAAAAATGTACCACGAAATGCAAAAAAAACACCTAAAAATAATTTTTGAGGAGCTCTACTGTGTTGGAAAATAAGTTAAAGTGTTTTACTCCAACACCTATCTCTGTAACTATAGTAAGAACTTCTAAATCCAATACTGTGTATCTATCATTTGCTTTTCAGAATTCCTTCTATATTTCTGTCACTCTTTCTTTACTTTTAAATCACATACTCCACATATAACAAAATCATGCTTCTCTTTCAGTAAAACATTTTAAGAAATGGAAAAATATTGAAAATCAGGAAATGTACACAGTTCTAAAAACCCGATTCTTTGTGGTGTTGC